TGTGAGGATATTTGCATTTGTTAAGGAATAAATAAAAAAAAACTGAAATAATATTTTACATTTAACACCCTGAATCTCTTTAACTATCAACTTTTGGACTAAGGCAAGTTCGGCTAAATCACAATATTTTTGCTTCGGGAATCTACCCATGAATTTTGGCCCATTGCCTCGGGACCACCCTGTATTTATCAAGTCACAGTAATTGTATCATTTTATAAATATTAGAAACATCAAAAGGTTATAACTTCTTAAGTTTTAAATAATTTTGAACATAATTGCGTTGAAGTTATCAAATATTACCTCTACTAAGTAAATAAATAAAGTTTATCTATTAATAATAATGAATAACTCGGTCACCTTTGGTAAAACTGATTAGGATTACTCTCCGATTAAAAATTATCTTCTATGTCCCAACCACAGTTTTCGTTGAGTAGGTGAACATCTGCTACTGATTGATGAGTTATATTCTCTCTCCTTAGAATATTTTATTTTTGTTTCTTATCGAAAAATGAAGAACCAAATGGGTAAGTTAATTTACGAGTATGTAACTTATTTACTTGAATCTAAAAACCTACATCTATATTCGAATTGTTTTTTATTACAAATAGTGATTGTCTAGACGTTGTTGTTGAATCAAATGCCATAATGCAATTGATAATCCACGACCTACTGCGACTTTTTAGGAATAATTTTTTGGGAAATCAAAGGTAGACTATTTATCTATTATAATCAACAGTGTAAATTATTGACTAATTTTCATTTTCAAAGACAAATTCCACGTAAAAAAATCGTATTACATTTTAAAAATAGGAAATATTTATTAAAATTAATATTAATTTTAGATTACAAATTACTTTAATGAAGTATGACTTTATCGGGGTTTTATGGAATGCTACATTTCATATAGGTAAAGGGTAAAAAAAATCAGGTAAGAAGTAATTTGATGTAATTGCAATTTTTCACAATTTTGCATCCGCTCGGCTAAACTACGCCTCGCCTAGCAAATACAAAATTTACTGGCACAAGTATCTAACACTTTTAATCCTAATATAACAATATAATATTTTAATTCATTTCTCGAAAATAATGGTTACAACCTTTTCAAAAGAATATAATCCCAAATTCACTTTATAGGTATGATGTAATTTACAAATTTGGAACAAAATTATCGTTTATTTATAAATGTTTTGAATAACAGAATTTGAAAAATTAACAAAACATGTTTACAAGTATAAAATATTGTCAAATGATACTTATTTTGTGACCTAGTTTTAGTTTTTTATTTATTTTAATATTTTATCACCTATGAAAAATAGGTATTTAAAAATTAATTAAATAAACCCTTACGCCAAAAAGATTCGGAAAGTTAGTATGACTGGAAAAAAGGTTCTGCTACAAGTTTTACGATATTTATCGCAAAGGTAATATAGGCAATACAATACACATATTTGATTAAATTTGTGTTCCGTACCACATGATCAATGAATTATACAAAATTATAATATTTTGCAGTAGATACTTCTTATATTTTCTTATAAATTAAAATTTAAATATTATTGTAAACCGTTCAGTTTAACACTATGGCTACTGTTAAGTCAACTAACTAAAAATAATAATTTCAAAATGTATTCAAAAGTATTTTATTTCATTTTACCACTGAGGAGTATTTATTTATTAATCCGTGATGAAGTTCTGTAGAAGTTTTCTAATTCTTTGCAATGATGTTTAACAAAAAATTTTTAATAGAGAATATTAACTCTTAGTAGCATAAAAATCATAAAAAGATGCAATACCGCAATTGATAGGTAGGTAATAAAAATATTTAATGACGATCTTTTAATGAGATTTAGTAGATTCTTATATCAAATGTAATCATGGATACCTCGTTTTGAACAATTGTTGTAGGACTTAATTGCTTAATTACTTACTAACCAGAAACAAATTTTTCTTGGGAAAATAGGGCGGCACTTCCAGTAGCACACCACTGGTTAAAGTCACAAGGTTAATATTACATTCAATAAAAGGTCTAATTAAACGAATACTCTGTAGTAAATTTCATTCAATTCTTTATAGCGCATTATGAAGATATGGCAGAAAAAATGTATATATTTTTGTAAACTTTAACACCCTGTATCTCGAATATTAAGTCGCGCAGGAAAAAAGTTTGTAGAGCAAAGTCAATTTTTTTTTGGTAATGAATCTAGTACTGCAGTTGCTGTATTTAAAGTGAAAAATGCGGAAAATTCTCTTCTATTTTATCATTTTGCACTTTCCTGAACATAACTAAAAAACAGACAATGCCTTCCTGTTTGCTAGATCTGTCGATTATGTGGTTGCATACATTCTAGGGAGAATAGCGGTGGTCACCAAATCCGTCTGAATGTTGGTTTACTTCTTTTTTTCTCTGTGATGTACCTATATCACAATTTTTTTACATGCAGGAGCGTAATTTTTTGTATTTCAAGACATTTAAAATTTCGTTATTATAAGAGGATGCACCGTTTTCAAGATAAGTAGTTATTTTTGAAATTATGATGAGAATAATTCAAATAATATTATCTGTGAACAAAATAAAATATTACTTACATTGTTTTTGCAACTTGAAATAAACTGTCTCTATCTTTTCATTAATTTTGAAAATTCCCATCTCCAAAATGGAAGAAAACTTTACGTCGTTGGAAATTAAAATTTAGCAGAGCATTTTAGTTATACTATACAAATAAAAATAATAATAATAATACAGATGTGATTGTTCGTTATTACTCGTCGTTTCTACCAGCGGCTTCGCTCGCATTGAAGCCATTAAATAAGTATCAGAGATCAAGGGTAAAATCACGAATTAACCACAAAAATGACACCTAACCTAAAACAATAAATATAGAAAATCTTTCGTAAAAAATACTTTTTTTAATAAAAAGTATCCTATGTTACTTCTAATACCTCCAAGAATATGTGTACAAAGTTTCATGATAGTAGGGATAGTAGGGATTCCTTCCTTAAAGTATTATACATATAGGAAAATTTGATATTTTTTATTAAGCAAAAGTCGATTCTAATTTAGTAAACTTAATCACATTGTACAATAATTACTTAAAAAACGAGACTCTCAAAGAATAACAAAGTTTATTTCCATTTCCATTATGTCAACAGTATATAAACAATGTTTTTATTGAGAACCTTGGCCTATGATTTTTGGTATTGACTTATTTATACGATAATAGTCCATAAAATGTTCTACTAAATTTGTAACAGACACAAAACTATAAAATTAAGAAATTCCAAATACTACTGTTTTGCAAGTCATCTTACAGATTCAATTCCTTTAATTTATTATTATTTTTATTTTTATATCTATCTATTCTACTACCTATTACTTTTGAATAGATTAATTTGCAATCTCTATTTTTCCTTTTCCGAAATTTTGACTGAACCCCATATGACCATTTTCCCAAACACAATCTTTTAACTTCAATAATTCTAACTTTTTCATGATTAGGCAAAAATAAAAATTACTGTTTTGGCGTTGGTAAAGATTTGTTTAATTAATTTTTCCCACACGTGGCAAAATACCCCAAATAAACAGGGAGAAAACTAAAATTATATAATTTCTTCAGACAATGTAATTAAGTACTTACCTTATTTATCACTACCAAAACATTTACGATAAAAATATGATTTTATTGTCATCGAAAACTGAATTTATTTAATAATAAAAGTAAAATAATGTGGGGTTCAAAAACTTATAATTATATTTTCTTTCACAAAAATTATACCATTTTTTTCAGTAACACGTAATTAAATAAAAAAAGAATATTGCACTAATTTCTGATTTTCCCCATTCTATAAATTGTGACTTAATCAAACTTGAATCTCTATTATTATTCTTATTTAGGGATCATTAATTTGCTCAAAATTTATTAATAAATATTTGTTGGAGATGGCTAATTTAATTTATACAAAGTAGTAAATTCTCTACATGTTCTTGAAAGTACTTTGTCAAATTTTCCATAAATAACAAACAAATTAAAATAATCGTCATTAGTATAATTTAAACGATCCCCAGGCATTTTTATTTAAATTTTCGGCCAATGCTATTCATACACAACAATAATTTTAGAACTAACTTGACAAATGTCAAGTTATTTCAATTGTTTTAGGAGTGTTTCTAGTCATGGCCAATTTGACAACAGGTCTGATACGAGAAAAAGTGTCCAAAAAAATAGAAAATTGCATATATCTCTACTACGGCAACCCTAAGAACAACCCTAATTTCAATCTGCATACGACAGAGTAAAAAATATAAGGTGTTCCATTTAAGTTAACAAAGTTATAGCTGTATGAAGTTATCAAAATGTAACAGCAAAAATGAAACACCTAGTAATAAATGTTTTAATTTATTGGTATACTATAACTTATTGTTACCTATTCCCTTTACAAGTACCAAAAATCCACTTGATACCACGCTCCTGAAAAGAATTACTAGCATCTTCGCGGACCCTTGTACCTGCCAATTTTTTTCTTTAATAATTAATATCTCAAATTCTATAACTCCTAGGTATAGGGAATATTTTAACAGTGACCTCAAATTTCAAAATCTAAAAATGCAATAATATATAGGGTGTCCCATTTAAAATAACGAAGTTGGTATCGACTTCCGGTATAACCGGAAGTGCTGGAAAGTTCTAGATATATTAGTTATGTTCCCCTCAAGGACATTGACATGTTGCCAACGTTTCAAATTTTTCGGATCAGTACTTTCTTAGATATCGATCGACGTAGTTTCCTGTGGAACACCCTGTATTAAACTACAAAATTACCGACTACTGATACTTTTTTCACCAAAAAGATATTGGTGCCTGTATAAAATTATTTTTTTTATTAAGATAGTGAGAGCTCATGATTGTCCGTCAATGAATACCTTTGATGAGCAGGTACTGTATTTTTTAAAGATTTGCTCGTCATGGTTTGCTGAGGGGCAGCGAATCCAGTTTGGTGAACTACCGCTGTGAAGAACGGGTGGGAGCATTTTTATATGGTGCAGTAAAATAGTCGGTGGTGCATTTTAACATCAGAAACATAAATACAAGTGAAAATAAATGAAGTGTCCAAATTAAATCGAAATAGATCACTTGTGTGTCTAAAAAATCAAATATTTTTATGGATTTTTTCCAAGACGTAAGTAAAAATATAATTAAATTAATAGAAAAATAAAATGTTTTTTAAATAGTATGTAACATTGAGTCAAGCAATACGATCGTATAAAAGTTTGACATTCAGAATAATTGCAATGAAAAAATTAAAGTAATTTAGTGTATTTTTTATGGACAAATTAAATCTGTAGTAAATCAACCAGAATAAAGATTTTTTACACCTTTTCCTTTCCAATGCTTTCAAATCCTAAGAAATATATACAGAGTGCTCAATTTGATTCGTACGGTTCTACTAATTTTTAAATAAAAGTAGCCAGTCCTCAAATATTTAATGAATAATAATTATTATTTTCGTTTTCCCAAAAAATTTTGAAAATGAATAATTTTGACATAATTTTTATTTTTATTGTAAGAAAAACACGAATAACTAATAATGCGTATTGTAGGTATTTACAGTCATCGAAAATTCGAAAGTTGAATATGAATTTAAACGAAACGATCAAGAAAATAAAGTCATTTAATTTTAAAGAATTGTTTACTGAGTGCTTTGAAAATGGCTGGAAAGTTTTCATTTAGCGAGAAAGTCGACATGCTATTGGTGTTAGGTTTCTGTGATGTTATTTCTGTTGTTTAAGTTTGTTTTTCTATTAAATTATTCTTATTCCAACGTTTTTCCTTATCGTTAAGATTTAAATTTTCGATGTTTTTAAATAACACAACTACAATACGTATTATTAGTTTCTGTTGAAAACCACAAAGCTTTTTGAGAACTAACAAGAGTAAGAAAAGTTTCAGAATTAAATTCCCCATAAAGTAAAGTAATAATTGTTTAAATCCACCAACGGGTTAAAAAATTCTCTCACATTTTAACGGTGCATCACCCCTATATCAACCCTTTAAAATACTTTGTTGAACCCTAAGTTCAAGTACAAGTGAGGTATTGATTTTTTTCGAAACTTGAAACCCTACTTCCAAAGTCTATAGCATCTATGGTCTGTGTATGTTCTTTTGGGAAACACCCTGTATAAACTTCTTTTTCTTCTTGCCTTTAAAGTTCTAGATTAAATTTAATATTACGAAATTAAAAAATCGGAATATTGTTGGATTCAGGGATAAATTCTGTAACAGATTAAATAGAAAAATTAATACAAGTTCATTTAAAAGACCATTAGGTCTTGACAAAAAATAATGTCAGTTTGAAGTTTTTTGAGAATCATTAACGCCAATGTATTGTTTTTAGAAATTAGATATAATTTGTAGCGTTTTCTACGAAAAAAGTATAAACATTTGCTTGTTTGCGTGTTCAATAGACGAAACATGCGCAATAAAACGATTTACAAAATGCCGGATAAATTGTTTAAAAGTTATTGCAAAAAAATGTCAAAAAACGTGGAAAAACAGCATTTTTAAAATTATTCATAATTTGGTTGTTATTTGTTGGAATTTTATAAATATGCCTAAAAGTTGTGAGTTTTATTGTTCTTCAAAACTATACTGTGGGCGCAATAGTTTTTGCGAAATTCTATTTATTTATCCCGTCAAGAGCAAAAATGTATAGCATTAACCTTGTGTCTCTCCGAAAGTTATTGAGCCGATTTTTAAACTAACATTACTTAGTTTTGTATTTAAATGAAATTTTGATTTATTGCCAGGGGTCCGAAAAAAAAAGTGTAACTCGGCTCCAAAAAGGAACATTTTTTTTAAATGTGTGGTTTTTGATTGGCTATACAATCACACATTTTATATTACATTATATTTAATTAAAAAAAGTGTGATTGTATAGCTAACATACTAAGTTAGGTTTTAAGCTTTAAAAATCTACTTGCTAAACCCTTTTTTGTTGTTAACTTTCGGAAAGACAGATGGTTAGTTATGCATTTTTGTCCTTGACGGGATAAAAAATAAATAGAATTTTGCAAAAACTATCGGGCCCACATCGCCCATCTTTCGCACAGTTTTGAAGAACAATAAAACTCGCAACTTTTAGGCATATTTATAAAATTCCAACAAATAACAACCAAGTTGTGGATAATTAAAAAAATGCTGTTTCCACGTTTTTCATGTTTTTTTTTTGCAATAACTTTTAAACAATTTATCCAATTTTAATGCGGCATTTTGTAGGCATTTTTATTGCATATATTTCGTCTGTTGAACACTTTTTTCTAAAATCGATAGTTTTTCCAAGATATTGCAAAAACTGATTTTCGACCCAAATTGTTTAAAAAAACAATGTTGCTAATGAAAAAAATTGACTCACGACATGAGACACCTTTTCTACTCTCTTCCCTTACACATTTCAACAATAAAATAGCGGACGGCCAATTCATCGATGTTCAAATATTATAGTAACACGACTATTAGCAAGAAACAGAACTGTCTAAGATATTACACCATTCAAAATCATTTAAACGCTTAAACTTGGTAATGAAATTTAAAAAAATGCTCAGTACTTCCGGCAGTATTCGCTTATTAATGTCATGACCATTTCGCCACTTTATTCGGGGTCACTGCCAAGTGCTCCGATTGCATTGTAAAAATGTATTGCTACACAGGACACACCCAATTTTCGAGCTTTTCAGTCACACCTGCGATATTGCCAATAATTGCAATAATAATTTTTTTTAGGAATCAGTTTTCACTGTTCAAAATCTAAAAACCAACAGAATGCCATTGAAGCTGTTGCCAAGTTGCCAAGTATAATAAATTATTAAACACGGTAAAGATATATTATTAATTTAAAAAAGAATTGCTGACAGCAAAAACTTGTATGCGTACATTTCGTGGAAATTGTTGATTTTGTGTGCATACTTATGGACGCAAAAAGAACAGCATCCGAAAACAAATAAATTTCCATAAATTATTATTAATAATATATAATTAGTTCTACTGGTATTGAAATAGTAGGAAAACCTTTAGGCTGTGCTCAAGCAGATACAGCAAGCTCCATCTCTCGATGTGATGCACTTACCTAGTATATCAGATAGATATTTACAGTAAAGTATAGCCTAATGTAAGTAATTAACTAATTAATTAAAATATTACAACAGTAGTAGCCAAGAGAACAGAGGGAAAAAACAACAAATAAGAAAAACAATTTTGTAATGTAAGATAACCTAAAATTAGCAAAAATATATTATTAATAAATATTATTGTAATTAATGAAGCAGGTAATTTATAAAAAAAAATGGTCAAACACGCCACTACATAAAAAAATGAACTAATTAGCAATAAACTTCATCAAGTGTAACATGTTGTTTCATGGTAAACCAAAGTTCGTTGCTATACATGTATACCTACAAATTGTATATTCGCATACAAAATTAAATTAACTCTTCATTGATACGTTTAAAATATTCTGTTTAAAAATAGAATACGATGACTTGCCATTTATATTGTGTGCAGTAGATCATTGATGCCGAAAAAAAAAACATTTCCGTGGCGTAGATCATTATTATAATAATTATACCTAGTGGCAGTAGTGGAAGGGGAAGTAAACTAAAATTCTTGACCAAGCTTTAAATATCGGGTCCTAAGTCACAAATTAATAATAGAAACTTCCGTAAATCTGGATACGAGTATAAAAAAGGCCAGTCTCCATTTTCGCGATTTGGAATTATGCCCACCTTCTGAAATGCTCTTCTTAAGTGCACACAGCTTGTGCAAATAAAACCAATTTCATGCTGTTTGCATCACTTTTAATAAAATTAATTAAAAACTTCAAATGTTAAGTTACAAATTTCTGTCTAATTGCACGTGTATATGAACGTAATGTGGATATAAACTGCGTTAAGACTGAGTGCAAAATGCAATAGCTTAGTCAGATTTTGGATAAAAATGCATCTATCTTTTAAAGTAAGAAAACAGTGTTCAAATTTGAGGTAACTTTTTAAATTTTCTGCCATTTCTCTTATTTGTACTGGAATAGTTTTGATTTTTTGATAGCTGATAGGTAGAAACATGGCGGTTAATAAATATGAAGAAGTATACGATTGTATAGGGTGTCTCAAACTTCTGTGAGGATACCAAAAATTTAAATAACATTTGGGACACATTGTGTTAAATGGAATGAGGTAAGCTCCATTTTCAATCGAAAGTATTATCTTTGGGATTTGACAGAAACGACGTCATTAATTATATTTTTTGCAGAAACATACCCAAATTTTTTTCCTGTTAAAAACCTCCCTTTTTTCTAATAAACTTTTATTAGAGAAATTTTTCTGTTATTTCCCGTTTAAAAGTTTTAAGCAATATCGTCCTAAAGAGTATCACAATAAAGACCTAAAAATCACATTAGCGTTAGAAGGATTAAGTAGTCTTTGGAAAATAATTGAATGTTCGTTGTTTAAAGTGCATAAGTATCACAGAGTACTTCGTCATTACTCAATACCAACGTCAGAAAAAGTTGATTTACGGCGAGTCACAAAAAAAATCAAGAGCTGCAGAGTTATATCGAGAAAGGTATCCAGAGCGCCTCATTCCAGATCATACAACCTTTACAAGATTGAAGGCGACCTTGCGACGAAATGAAAAAATCAAATAATTGACCGAAGAGTAAGAAACAATGTTAATACAGCTAGACTGTTACAGTTAGGGTTTCTGATTTCTCGGTCTATTTTTTTTCTCGGGTCTCGAGAATTCTCGACTAGGAATTCCCGGGAATTCTCGAATTCTCGTGAAATATCTAAAACTTAAAAAAGTCATAATTTTGGTATTGCAATGCGAAATACAAACATGCTATTATACTTAACAATCATCATTAACATTTATTATTTATTCAGTATTTTTATTAATTACTTATGTATCTACTTCTAGTAACAAAACTTTCTTTTCTTCTTAAAACCTTTAACTTGTTTTTTTATTAAACACTTTCAATATACTTATTATGTTTATTTCAATGTTTCTGAGTCGTAGTTTTCTTCCAATAATAATTATTAATAATCATTAATCATGCAGTCTTTTAATTAAATAAATAGTAAATAAGCAATTTAACCGAAGAAATCTTAAAAAAAAACAAGCTTTAATTTAAAGATACAGAAGCGTTCTTCCTATTAATTTATTACTTCAACATTAGGTATCTGCTTATAATAAAATTTCTATACAGACTTATAACTAGGTACAGGGTGATTCACTATATTTTACCTCTTTTAACTTTTTTGTTTTAAGAGTTATAAAAAATGTGAAATACAAAAGTTGAACGATTTTTTATAAAATTTTCGAATATGATAGTAGAAAAACAAATGAAGTTCAAACAAAATGGCCGCGGATGTTAACTTTGTTAATTTAAATGGAACACCTTGTATATTTTTACACATTTGGATACAACCTTCCCTGTCGAGCACAGTCATATATGGTTTGTTGGGTCCATCTCTAACAATAAGCGAGATAATATTAAAAAACGAAAAGAACGTTTTTTATTAGAAAATAAAATATTTTGTAATTGTTGGATGTTTTTGGGGCATTTCTGCCTTTTTCCAATTTTGTAAGGATTTAGATTTATTTGCAATATATTTTGACATATCGAACATTGACATAGTCCAAAATGGGTATAAGTATTTTAACTAAATCGCACTAATTAGTCCGAGAGGGGCTTATTTACTCATGGACAATGTTATATGGTAGGCCGTGACAGTGACAGGTAATATTATGACAACATTGTTATTGTTTGACAGTTTGTATTATTATTTATTTAAAATGGGATACAAAGAAGTAGAAGATTTAAATATTATAGGAATTAAGATAGAGTAGTTAAGATATTCTCCATAGTTTATTTTAATTCCTAATAATATTTCAATTTTCTACTTCTGTGTAACCCATTTTAATTAAATACTAATACAAACTGTCAAACAATAACAATGTTATCATGACATTACTACCTGTCAGTGTCACGACCTACCAAATATAAGATTATCCATGAGTAATTCGCCTCACACGGTCTAATTAGTGAGATTTACTTAAAATACCTATACGCGTTTTGGACTATATCAATGTCCGATATGTCAAAATATATTACAACTAAATCTAAATACTTACGTAATTGGAAAACAGGCAGAAATGCCTGAAAGAGTTCTAACATTCTAACAATTACAAGATGTCTTATTTTCTTAATAAAGAAACATCATTTCGTTTTTTAGTATTATCTCGCCTATTATTAGAGATGGACCCAACAAATCTATATGACTATGTTCGACAAGGAACATTCTATCCAAATATGTAAAAATATACAGGGTGTTCCATTTAAATTAACAAAGTTAACATCCGCGGCCATTTTGTTTGAACTTCATTTGTTTTTCTATCATTTTCGAAAACTTCATAAAAAATCGTGCAACTTTTATATTTCACATTTTTTTATAACTCTTAAAACAAAAAAATTAAAGGGGGGTCAAAATATAGTGAATCACCCTGTACATTAAAAAAAAAGAATCATCAAAGTAAACTAATGCCTTAAAAACTTAAACAAATCATGAGCTGGTAGAGAAACCACTTTAACCGCTCAGTTATTTGTCGAGAAACGAATTAAACGCATCAACGAAACCAACTCCAGTCAAGAACTTAAGACGCGCGTGATTTTTAAATTTCTCGATTTCTCGGAACTTTTTTCTCGTCTCGAGTAAGGCCAGATTTCCCGGGAATTCTCGCTTCGAGAAGTCTCGACCAGAAACCCTAGTTACAGTATTTCGAACAAAATTCATGAAATTCTGCAGGCTAGCCGGGAATTGAATTTGGATAAGTCAATCGTTCAACGAAGACCAATGGGTGTCATGACTACAATGTTCACAATTTGCTTGGAGTATTTGCCAGAGCGTCACATTGCAAACAGACTTAATTTTATAGCTCAAATTACAGAAACTGATGATCAGAACCTTTTTCGGCACGTTCTTTGGACGGATGATAGTTGGTTTGTCAGTAGTTAATGGTTTGCCAAACAGGCGTAATGAACACTACTAGTCCATTGAAAATCTCCCGTAACGTAACCTATATTTCAAATTTGAGCTAAATATCTCAAAAACTGTGGGAGCTATAGAGAAAAAAACTGAAAAAATCTTAAAATTTCAACACCCTGTATATGAATTTTTAGTCATGAAATAAGCCAAAGAATTACCCCCTCCCTTATGTACATGATATTTAGGAACACCCTGTATATGTACTTTAAAAATAAATTTATAAAAAGGATTTATTAAAAATACAATTGGCATCTAGTGACATTGTTTGACTTTATTTGTTTGAATTGTCAGCGATATTGTTTTCTCCTTAATGTGTGTCTCTCAATCACACGAAACGTAAACTTCGTTGTTAATGAAAAATAAAACAGTATACACGCAATGTATCATCATCAGATATGTTAAATGGTAAATGATAATGTGACCTTTAATAGCAATTATTCTCGTACTTTGGAAGGATGAAATTACAATGTATGAGACTTAATTTCAATGTGTGACATTTACCTGAAGATGTTTTAAATGCACACGTTATAAATTTTCGTATCGGGAGAAAAAACAACATTACCGAACTAACAGGTATGCAAATTAGCTAAGCATGGATAATATTTGTCCTCAAAGTTATAAAAAAAAGTAAACGCGTAAAACAATTCAAATAATTTAAACAGGTAGATTTGTTAAATAAATATAGACATCAATTTAAACATATTTTCTTGTCTGCCTTGTTTTTCAAATAAGCGGTGTCAAAATTTTCAAAGAAACACTCTCAGATTCTTCACAATAAAGGAATCTTTAAGCAAATAATCGGTTATACAGATTTAGATAACGCATTGCAATATCTTCTTAGGGAAACACTTTCAAGAAAAACTTTTTAGACAAAAGTTGCAGGGTTCTGAGGGGGACAATGGTGACCTTGACCTTGACCCAAAGGTCAACCGTAGAGGACATTTAAAGGTGAACTTGGACTTTTAGATGTGCTATATGTATTTTTGACACCGAAGATGGATAGAGCAGAAAATTTTACATAAAGATATGTCTTTATGTTATATTTTGCGATATCTTAAAGGGAAAGCACTTAGACGAAGGATTATGGTTGAAAGTTTTATGGTTTGATGGGATCATACGATAATGACCTTGACTATGACCTAGAGGTCAAGCTTGAAGGTTCTTTGAAGGTCAAATCAAGTTACGAAATAGGAGAATCTTGTTTGCAGCCCCATTAGGATAAGGCAAGATCGTTATGGCCCAGCCAGTCAAGGCAAAATCGCTGTAACCCGACTAGTCAAAGCAAGATCTCTATGATCTGGCCAGTCAAGGCAAGATCGTTATGATCCAGATATTCTAGGCAAAGCCGCTATAACCCAGCACGGCAAGATCGCTTCCACCCGGCCAATCAAGGCAAGATCGCTTCGACACCCCTGGCCAGGTCATAGTGATTTTGCCTAGACTAGCCCGGTTACAGCGATCTTATCTTGACTGGCTGAACCATAACGACCTTGTCGTAACTTAATAGGACTGCAAAAAATTTGACCATAAAAGAACCTTCACGCTTGACCTCTAGGTCATAATCAAGGTCATCAACGTATGATCCCATCAACCCACAAAACTTTGAACCAGAATCCTTCGTCGCAAATGCTTTCTCGTAAAATATCGCAAAATCTTATTCAGAACATTATTTAACCCTAAAATAACTTGCTAGAGTCACTTTGACCCATAACATAAAGACATATGTGAACCGTCAAAAGATCACTTTTGTACCAAATAAAATTTGCTATACAAGAACAATTTTTAAACGCATTTTTGACACAAGAAAACCTTTTTTCCAAGGGTGTGCCTTAATTTTTGAGAGAAATGTAAGCAGGATACATCAAATCTACGTCACTGGTTTTAATCTTGTATGTCATTAAAAAACAATAATCAATCAGTACCAATACGATTATTACTGTTTTTCATATTATTGAATCATCGACTATTTACAGGAAAGTTAGATAGTGGACAAACTAGATATAAAAACGCCTGACGATAAAAGTTCCAATCTCCCAAATCTTTGATTATACTATTTTTTTTCACTACCTTCTAAATGCATATATCTCTAGAGGGAAAGGTGACTGCTTACATTAAAAAAAAACTATATGAATGGCCCACCTTAAAACTACCTTTAGTACACAACCCTCAAAATGTTTTCACTTCATTTCATATTCACTAAGTTCATACTGTTTTTAGATACCAACGATAGAAGAAACGGACTCTGTCAGAACAAAACTTTAGAACTCTTGGGAATACACTACATAATGATGGACTTCTTCTTTTCGATACTTATAGCATTTATGACATTTTTACGGTTTTTAACCCATCCGATCTACGTGTGGTTTGCACAAGGAAAGAAAAAAAGTGTACCACCGATAACAAATGATATACTTCGTATAAACGCTACAGAATTGGCTGCCAAAATTAGGAAGAAACAGGTAAGTTGAGAATCAATAAAATTGTCTTAAAACCTTAAAATGTCTGTATCAACTTTGAAACTTTTGGTACAATCAAAATTATATTAAATAGATATAATATTCGTGCAATTTTTAAGGGCATATCTCTATTAATGTGCTTTCTTGAAACTTCTGTCAGTATCCGAACATTTAAACAGATCTTAAACAGAAAAACTGCTAGCTCTGCAACAAAACCGTATACAGTGGTGCAGGATGACTCAAATTAGAAAAAAAGTCGCCTCTTTAAAATAGTAGTGTTACATACTGACGTATTCGTAATTTTATCATCTGTCTGTTACTATCAAGATCCAATATGGCGCCCATAAGAAACAAAACAATTGAATGTTGCACATCTGAAACTAGTAGCCGTAGAAATTTTCTTTCGGCGAAAATGAATTGCTCGTATCTTATGTTTGGTTTATTTTTATGACCCTGGAAAGGGTCACCCTGTACATCTTACAGTTTCCCAAATGTCAATGGTGAGCCATGAAAAACGGACCACCCTGTATATTTTACTGTTATTAATAATTATTTCAAAGATGGTGTTGAAAAAGTAAATACACATTTCGGTAATAAGCTACGGTACTGATATCAGAAGTTGTTATTGATAAAAATATTCATTTATTCAAAATCTTTTAAACTGGATTGCAGTAGAATACATTAGGTCTTTTTACATGGCTATGTAATGATTTTACGGGTATTATTCCATGTGCAAAGGTTACTACTAATTTAGTTTGTGATTATTTTCCAGTGAGAAGTATTTTGAAAAAATAACATTTTCTAATTTGCATCACCGCAGAACTAATTTTGAACCAGTGGTTTTGTGTGAACAGAAAATAATTTCACCCTTCTTGTTATACACATGAACTTCTAAAAAGTTCAATAACTGTTAAGACAATAAATTAAATTAAATTTGCACAAAAAACTAGAGGTATCATCTAAATGTTATTACTTATAAGCGTTCCGAACCGGAAAAGCCATTATCCATGTATTAATATCTGATAAAACGTGTAAAAATCAATTCAGATAATCGAAGACAATAGTTGTGTTTTATTTATTAAAATGAAAGAAATGCGTACTAAACATTCACCCTGTATATCTAACAATTCGTTTGACATAAATTGATTTTGTTTCTAGTTGTCTAGTGTTGAAATATGCCAAGCCTACATAGATCGGATCAAACAAGTGAATCCAATAATCAACGCAGTGGTAGAGGACAGATTTCAACAGGCACTGAAGGAAGCCAAAACTGTGGACGATTACCTAACAAAGTGCGCGCTGAACGAAGAAGATCTAGAAAAGATCAAACCGCTGTTAGGAGTACCGGTGACCATTAAAGAAAGTTGTAGCTTACAAGGTAACGAGTGAAATAATTACAAACGTAAGTAAACTGGCCAGAACTGCACAACAAAGATCCACCAGCTTGTTTCCTTTAAATAAATGTTTTGTGTTGCCGTCACGTCGCGCCGTCATTTTTCAAAATATCAATGCCCCAAAATTTGTTATGTATTGGCCTTATAATAATGATATACAGGGTCAGAAAGTCCCCATGGTTCATCGGCCGTTACGTGAGAGCGATAAAGAAAGTCATAGAAATGTCTGCGATAGAGAAAGATGGCTATAATGAAGGCGTCTAATAATCACCGCCCATTATAGCCATCTTTCTCTATCGCACGGATTTCTATGACTTACTTTATCGCTAGGGTCTCAAAAATACAAATACGGACCTGTAAACAATAACAAAGGAGGAGGAAGTTCGGATGCAATTTAGAAATTATTTTTTAATTTACCAAAAAAAATATTCCGTTAATACATCGGATTTAAAATAGTAATTAATAAAAAAATATATTTTCTTTTAATTATATTATCATCAAGGACGTGAGTATAAATTTGATACAAACGTGCAAAAATAAAAAACTGAAAGTACCTGTATATTAAATATTTGTAGTTAAAGAACTATAAATACAAATTATACTTGTTATAATATTGTACAGAAATAAGAATCATTTTTGTACAGGCGATATGACACAATTTGATCTGCACCAAAAATTAAAATAAACATTTCTGTTTCAAGATACAGATTACACAAACAAAAAACAGTCCAAACCCAATTGTCCCACATACCATTTTGTCCAAATATATAATTTTTGTAGTATTTTGAGACGCTGAACACGATGTCATTAGTAAAATTTACCAATGACCTTGACATTTCTCTAAAAATCCATTATGTAGGTGAAAACTGGTCCAAATATGGGTCAAAAATGGTTTTTTCCTAAATTTTGTCCAAATTTGTAATTTCCCTAGACGCTGAATACAATGTCATTATTAAAAGTTATCCATGACCTTGATATTTCTCAAAAAATCCACTATTTAGGTGAATACTGGTCCAAATATGGGTCAAAACTGATTTCTTCCTAAATTTTGTCCAAATGTATTTCTCTAGTATTTTAAGACGCTGAACACGATGTCATTAGTAAAAGTTACCCATGACCTTGATATTTCTCAGAAAATCCACTATTTAGGTGAATACTTGTCCAAATATGGGTCAAAACTGATTTCTTCCTAAATTTTATCCAAATATGTCTTTTCTCTAGTATTTTGAGACGCTGAACACGATATCATTAGTAAAAGTTACCTATGACTTTGATATTTATCAGAAAATCCACTATTTAGGTGAATACTGGTCCAAATATGAGTCAAAACTGATTTATTCCTAAATTTTATCCAAATATGTCATTTCTCTAGTATTTTGTGACGCTGAACACGATATCATTAGTAAAAGTTACCCATGACCTTGATATTTCTCAGAAAATCCACTATTTAGGTGAATACTGGTCCAAATATGGGTCAAAACTGATGTTTTTCTAAATTTCCTCCAAATATGTCATATCCCTAGTATATTGAGACGCTCAACACGATGTCATTATTAAAAGTTATCCATGACCTTGATATTTCTCAAAAAATCCACTATTTAAGTGAATACTGGTCCAAATATGGGTCAAAACTGATTTCTTCCTAAATTTTGTCCAAATGTATTTCTCTAGTATTTTAAGACGCTGAACACGATGTCATTAGTAAAAGTTACCCATGACCTTGATATTTCTCAGAAAATCCACTATTTAGGTGAATACTTGTCCAAATATGGGTCAAAACTGATTTTTTCCTAAATTTTATCCAAATACGTCATTTCTCTAGTATTTTGAGACGCTGAACACGATATCATTAGTAAAA